AGGGTCCCTGCTCGAGCGTGGACTTCCCCGCTTGAGCGGCCCCTTGAGGCCTGCAAAAGTGCTGGATATGTTGAATTTACACTCGATCGCGAACTCTGGCGCTCGAGCGGAAGGCCTCTCTACATGGCTCCCCGCTTGAGCGTGAACTTCCCCGCTCGAGAGGACACCATATCTGCAGAAAATACTGGGAACACGAATTTCACGCTCGAGCGGCGGTTTCCCTGCTCGAGCGAGAATCAAAATTCTGGAAAATCCAGAACATGTTCTTGAGCTTCAATTCGACATTCAAAGGTTCTAGATGCATGATTTTAGCTCAAACTTCACATATACATATTCTAACATGGTATAAATACCAAATTACAACACAATGAAGCTTAATTTCACAATTTCATCACATGCATGTCTCAAATTAACTCAAACTCATCACCAACACACTAGATTCAAACATGCAAGACTCAAACTCCCATGATTTGCACTTGCATGTGAAATATACACAATATCCTCAACTTAATTGGTGAAGAGATGATCAAATACATGGTCATTAATCAAAACTCAACATGGATTACATACTTTATGCTCAAACATGGAAATTTATGGCAATTTCTTACATGCATGTGTTCTAAGACTTCAAATTCAACAAAACCAACTCAATTTCATCATAATCAATCTACTCATGTTCTTGACCATTAATCAAACTTGAATTCACAATTTACAAACAAAAATCCATGAGTCAATGGTTGGTTACTCACCTAGGAGCCTTGATTCTCACAATTGTGGCCAAGTCTTGCACCTAGCCTTCCCAATTCACAAATTATAAGCCAAAATACACCAAGATGCCTCATTTCCCTCTCAAGGTCGGCTCTCTCTCTCTTTCTAAGACACAAATTTTGATTTTTGAGCTCAAGTAAGTGAATTGGGTGTAGTGTCTTTCCTTACATAAGTCCCACTAATTCCAATTTATTAATATAAAATAATTGGGCACTTAATTCGTTAATTTAATCTAATTAATTTGATCCGAATCAATTTCCAATTAAATTTGACCGTATGTTCTAAAAATTATGTCAATCACAATGGTGTAATCAATTTCGGGTTCTGTGGCCGATAAGGCCTTCAATTTAATTTCCAAAGCAGGTAATCAAACAGATATCTCTACGGTGAACAGATAGAAATTCAAAACCACATATTTCACATAATGGCATACAAAACCATGCTAAACACATAACCATAAACAACTTAAGGACCAATTAGCATAATACAGAACAGGGATGTCACAATTAGTGAGTATTGCCTTTATCTCAATCCCAATCTCCCTCTATCTTCCAAACAAACGGGACCAAAGATATTTTGAAAAAATAATTAAAAATTGACTATTTAATTTTTAAACTTTTTTTAATTTTTTTTATATGAGAGGGGTTATAACCCAAATGAATTAAAAACTAACTTTTACTTTATTATGAAATTACCCATAGGTCCCATGTGGAACATGTGGACACCATTTAATCCCATAACTTTTTTAGTACACCCAAAAGTCCTTTCCCCTCTCTCTCTGTTTTTTGCTTCCCTCTTTACGCCTCTTCCTCTAACCCTAATCTCAGTCCTAAAGTCAAACAAGAAGGCGATGAAGAACAAGAACAAGAAGACGATGAAAAACAAGAACAAGAAGACGCTCATCCTCAGATCTGTGCTTAGATTGAACAGATTTGTGTATATATCTTTGTCAATTTCTCTCTCTTTCTCTCTCTATTTACAGATTTTTTTTGGGATAGTTATTGATCTATGGTTGTTGTTGTTGATGATGAAATAGATCTATAATATCATTGAAACAGATTTGTAATGACTCAGATTTGTACAGATGTCACATAGATTTGTAATGAGAAAATTTTCGAATTCTGAACAAGTAATTTTCGAGTTTTAGTTACAGGCGGTGAAAACTGTAAAATTTTGCAGTTTCGATTTTTTTTTTTGGTGTTGGAATGAATCATGGTTTAAAACTGTAAAATTTTGCAGTTTTATAACATTTTTTAGAACTGTAAAATTTTACAGTTTCATAACATGTTTTAAACATTCCGACGAGTCTCCGGCGATGTTGAACATTCCGACGAGTCTCCGGCGACCGTTTGACGGAAGTCCGACGGTAGTAAGATGTGAACAGTGTCTGTAAATTAAAAACAAAAAAAGGATTTTTTGGTAACAATTAAAAATGTATTGGACTAATTTGTGCAAGTATTTTGTTTTGGGATTAGCTGGGTTTTGAACTTAGTACATGGGACTTATCAGTAACTTCCCCATTTTTTAAATGTTTCGAAATGGCCCTAAGCCCATCTATTGAGTCTCGACCCTCTCGTTTCGATGACCCCATCAACTTCTCTCTTCAATGATCTCAATCTCTCAGGTGATTCTATTCTATCTTTCTCTGCTCATCTTCTGATTATTGTTGCTAGGGTTTAGCTTTTTCATCTTTCGAGTTCGATTGAAAGCAATTCGATCTTGTACAATTGTTTTTTTTTTTTTGGTGTTTTCATTAGCTTCATCTATTCTTTGATTTTAGTATCCAATTTTTTGAGGCTTTTATGTGTACCCTGTTTTGGGTTTCAATTATATATGTGCGTGTGGTGATAGTCCAGACATAGAAGGAAATTGTTTGGATAATCAGGCCGGTCCTGAGATTTTCAGGGCTAAAGCTGATAATCAATTAATAAATATCTCTAGATCATTTTGGGATCCTCTACACATTATTTTTTCATTCAACAAAATTTTTTTTGAACGTAAAAGACAAGATTTGTGTCAAATCACAAAAAATACTTAGCATTATATTGCAACGATTAATAAGTATTGCTTGATTTTCGCCCTTCTTGCATTTTTAGAAGCAAATAAATCAATCATATTTGTTTTAAATTCCTGAGAAATTCGTTAGAGCTCTCTTGTGCTACTTCTCTCATATTTTTCGGAAAATTAAATTAAGAGTTAGGGTTAGAAATTAGATCGGGAGAAAGAATGGGCCTTTTAATTTTTTAATGAGTCAATTTATTTTAAGTTAGTTTGGGCATTCTTTAATTTTTTTTTGGACTTAAAATATACCTAATATATTACTCTAAACTATAATAGGAGAGGGCTCGGTTTTTTGGTCTTTTTTGAGGGGCCCCAAGCCATGGGCTGGTGGGCCTATGCCCAGGGCCGGCCATGTGAATAATTCAGATTGATGAAGAGGGAAAATTGTTTGGATAAATCATAAAAAAAAAAAAAAAATCATTCCATTTATTGGCTTATGCTTCCTCTGAAAAAAGATTTCAACCAATAGAGAAAAATGGTCTTCATGCCTATAAGAATTTACCCTTTACTCCAAAAGACAGAATAAAGGTGAAAAATGGTATGATTATTCCATTAAAATATCCATTATCATGTTTGGTTCACTATAAAAGTGATGCAAAATACATTGCAAAATATTTTTTAATAAGCAAACATATTTATGTGTTATAGTTTACTCCTTGCGTTCAATTGTAAATTCCAATTTCTGACTTTTTTAGTTGCATGTTTGATCATCCTTGCATTCCAAATGCTAGTTTTTGCTTTAATTTTCAAGACAACAGTTAATAAGTGCGAGAGACAACCAATCACGGAATTCTAGATCAACTGCCAAACAAATTTCAGTTTCTGAACTGAAGTATACATTGAGGAGACTCTTCTGGAATTTATTTATTTATTTGTTTTTCATGGTAAAGCATTTCCAAAATTTGTGACAGGATAATACAGCTATGCAAATTTGTTGTCTTCTTTAATTAGAATGCTTCAATTAGCTGATGGCCCATTATGGGTCTAAAAATAAACACATTTACTAGTTTTCCAGATATGAATACTTCAATGTATTGCCCTGTTCGATTGATTGAAGGATGTGAAGTTGCATAAGAAGAAAGGAGACATCTAGTTTACATTCCAATTAACAAAGTATTTGCAATTATGGATTTTGTCTATTTCGTCAATTTTCCCACCAATGTATTTGTCAATAATCTTCTATTTTGGTATTTTTCTTTTCATTCTACTTTCCAGTAAATCTTAAAAAAAAAAAAAGAAAAAAAAAAAAGAAAAGCTAAAATATGTTGTTGTGTAAAATTGAAACAGGAGATAGAGACTGTGAGGAGTTACTACAACAAGCTAAGCGCTCTTAATTTGGAGGTGAAAGCAAAGAAACAAGGGGTAAGATTTGACTTCTTTGGCAAACTAACTATTTATCAAACTTTGGAAATTGATTTTAGTTGTTGGTTTAGGCAACAACTACATTATTCTTATCTATTCTTTGATTATAATTTATTCAACAAATTTACATATTCAGGAAAAATGCCTGCTAATGGAAGAGATTTAATTATTCAAAGAAAATGTTCAAGGGAATAAATGGAATTTAGTGTGTTGTTTTAAGTTATCTTGTTTGTGTTATTGAAGCTTGGAATCATTGCAAGTACATGGCGAAAGTGCCTTCGAGTGGATTTGATTAAAGGGCTTTGGATGAAATCTCTAAGAGTTGAAGACACATGCATATCATAATTGTTCATGACCACATGCTTTCTATAAGTTATGTAACATTCTTTATGATGAAGGGGGATTGGTGGCCACAAGAAATGTGATAATAGATGAGATTGTGGCACTGTTTTTATATATTCTCTCCCACAACCTTAGGAATAGAACAATTAAAAATATGTTTGTTCGTTCCATGGAACCACAGAGAAAATATCATTTCGCCCTCTAAACTTTCACATGTTTTTCAATTTGACCCCTCGACTTCGATTAATATCAATTTTACACCTAAACTTTCAAAATTTTGATCAATTTGGCCCCCTACCGTCACATTCCGTCTATAATTAGACAGAATGCACTGACGTGGGGGCAAATTGATTTTTAAGGTATAGTTAAGAGGCAAATTGATTTTTAAGTGTAGTTTGGATGGTTAAATGAAATTTCAAATGAACTTTGGTGCCACGTCAGTATATCCATCCAATTGTAGACGGAATGCAACGGCTGGGGTCAAATTGATCAAAATTTCAAAAGTTTGGGTGTAAAATTAATATTAATTGAAGTTTGTGAGTCAAATTAAAAAACACGTGAAAGTTTGAGGGACAAAATGATATTTTCTCAGAGCCATAAGTCGACAATTTCACACTATGTTGTGATCAGTACTTAAGATTGGAAAAATTATATCAATCAAAACCATTCAAGCCTTGGTGAAAGAGATAATGAAAAGTGGAGATGGTTAAAAAAATTATTGGAAGATTAGGGTAGATATCGAAATAAGAAGGGTAAGCTAAGCACAAATGAGAGTTGTCTTGGATATTAAAGACGGTCAAATGTGTGTTAGAAGAAGGGGAAAGAAAATAAAAGATAGTATGGTTGCTTAAAACATAAATTCTTAGACAGTTTGTTTAAGTTCCAATCCTGAAAATGATGGGTACCGGTTGTTGTGGTAATAGTGGTGTTGACAAACAATGGTGATGGTGGTGTTTTGGTGGTAGGATGGTATGTGGTGGCGGCGGTGATGGCAGTGGTTGCATGGTGGTAAGGCAGTATAGGTGGTGGATAGGTAGGTGATGAGGTGGCGGTGGTAGTGTTTGGATAGTGTGGTGGCAGTGATAATAGTAATGGTGGTAGTGGTGATAATGATAGTGGTATTTTCAAGGCTCTAAGTCTGTCTCATTAGATAGGAAAACTTTCTGTAAATAGTGGAAAATATTTTTTCCCAACTCAAAATCATTTTTTGTTGACCACAAAAGAGGAAATAAGGAAGTTAGAACAATCGTTTGACTTTGGCACATGAGGTGATTTTTGGTTAGATAAGACTTTTTCCAAAGACTTATATGGGTTCCTATTGCTAAAAATTTACCATGATGTTCAACTTTTCCCTCTCTAATGACTATCTATTAACCAACAAGCTCAACTCATTTTGTAGCTCTCTAGGAGGTCAATATTTTGAATCTCCTTATGGTGTGTGGGTATTATTCCTTGTATATTAATTCGGGTTTGTTTATCTCACTTTTGGAGTTTCTGTGTATTAATTATGTGTTGTATTTGATTTTCATTATTATGATTATATTTATTGGATTTTATTGTAATATCATATAAGAATAAATAAAATAAAGACTACGTATATGGATTGTTTATTTTACCATTGTTATACCATGTGACAAATTTGACATAAAATTTAAACTATAAATAAATTTTGACAAATCATTGTCGGTACATCTCTCATGGTTGGACTTACATGTAGTGTTTCAATTTGACATTTTATGAAAAAAATAAAACAAAGATTTAGAGATGCTATAATAGAAATGTATTGAAGGAAATGTTTTCATTAACTTTTATTTTTGTTATAGCAAATGCTAAAAAAATGCAAACAATATTTCATGAAAAACGTTTTTTGCTTAAACAAAATAAGAAAAAGATGCAAACATATGGTTAGATTGCTTTTGACATCATCAACTAATGGAAACAAAAATTAGCTTTTTCTTTTATTAATAATTAGTTTTACATGTCAAATGGTTGCATAATTGGTCCCTCATTGTTGATTTTAGAGGTTTAGGTCTCCTTTTTATTTTTCAAACATAAAATAGCATTAAAAAAAAAGGCATTTTACCATTAGAAATATGGCAGATGTATAAATGGGGAAGAGTTATCCCATTCTATAGTTTATCATGACATTCTTCTTTTTTAGAGAAAATTTGGTTATGTGTATTTTTTTTAGAAAAAAAATTAGAGGACAAGGTTGAATGATTAATTAATTTTTTCTAAAATTAGAGGACAAGGTTGAATGATTAATTAATCTCAACGGTTGAGCATGATAAGCAATTACGATGAAGCTTAAACATTAAGTTGTTTGCTTCGACAAAGTGCAAGTCTTGAAAGAAGCACATTGGTTCTGTTTTCTGTTTGTTTCAAGAATTTGTTATTTCCTACAGAAGTGACATCTTTTAGGAAGTGGATAAAAATGTGAATTATGACAATAATTTTTAATTTTTGAAACTTAAATTTCAAAACAAAAGTAATTCAATTTTTCATTCCTTTTTTTTTTTTTTTTTTTTTTTTTTTTTCTCTCTCTCTCACCATAAATCAAAGATACAAATAGAGCATAACAAAAATTCACACATCAAACATAATGATAGAAAAATAAATAAATAAATAAATAAACGAAAAAAATTAGAATGGCTCACTTTAATTAAATTTAAACATCCTTTTATATGCTCCTGATGTGGTTTGAGCGATTTGAGTTTCTTAATCCCCTTGGCTATACTTTGTTCCTTCTTTATCGCTTTGTCCCGTTAAGTGAGTTGTGTGCTGTAAGAGAATAACTGACATTAGACCACACCACACGATGACTGCAACTATAATAGGATGGCTGAGTGATTTCCTGTAAATTTTTGGTGTGATCACAACAATAGAAATTGCATAAGCTATTGCCATTGATGTAATGGTCAACCACATGACCGCAACTAGAATCCACATAAAAGCCTTTCTCTTGAAAGGCAATCCACTTATGAGTAACAAGATTGTGCTTAGAGATGTAACAAATCCTATCGTGCTAACACAGAGGAAATATGGGAACGAATCTAGATAATTATAAGCCATTATAGCTTCTCCAGCTCTTTGCCTGTTTGAATTGTCTTGCCAAACACCGCTTGGCGGGCTCACCCCAGCTTGAAAAGCTATTATTGCAATGAGCGATGTTGCTACAATGAATGTTTGCTTTTTCTTTGCCAGCCATTGACTCTATGCGAGATCCTTGCCTCTTATAGCTCCAATGTTTCGGAGTTGATCTTCGATATTATCAGAATTTTTCGTATCCTTTCTAATTTCTCCTAGAATGTCCAATGTTGTGTGTCCGCTAGCATTAGTTATGTTTGCAGCTATGTTTTCATTGGCACTAAGCAAGTAACTCAAGACCTACAAAGTAAAATAAACTAATGAACTTACTGAATTGACTAACAGGTGAGGAAAGTTATTGAATGATATATCCTCAAGGGGCCATTTTGGCATGATGGACAAAATGTACCAATTTCAACAATATATGTTTCTATATATAAATTTTGTTAACGTGTGCCTTTAGAATATACGTTAAGATGTTTAAATTCTACATGAAATCCATACAATAAAGAATGCACAATTTTTTTTTTTTCAAGCCGGCTAACATGTGTGCCCTAAGGGCATAGGTTAATAAGATCTATATGTTGAGCATCCACACCATGCTTTGTTGGAAGTTAAGAATGGAGGTTATAGATTTTTTGAAGTTTTGTTTTGTTTTGTTTTTTTTTTTTTTTTTTTTTTTTTTTTTTTTTTTTTTTTTTTTTTTAATCTAGGGTGGCTGTGTTAATGGCTTGCCATTAACCTTGGTAGTTGGTTGTTGGTAAGCAGAGGCTGGTAAGCAGAGGTTGAGCTTTTGGCTCTCCCCATTTGTGTATAAATAGAAGAGCAGTGAGCTGAGATTGAAATGTGAGAAATCAGAAGGTGAAGAAAAGAGAAAGTTGTGAAGAATGTATCTTTGAGTTGAGTTGAGAGAGTGAGCTCCTCTTCCTTTGTCTTGTATTTGTTTTTATTCATAGTGAAGTTTTCTCTGTTTCTCCCGTGGACGTAGGCATTAGGCCGAACCACATAAATATTAGGGTCTCATTTGTGTGTGTGATTGTTTGTGAATCATGTCCTGGGTGTCTCATTGGTCTTTTTTTTTGAAAAAAGAGTGTTTTTCAGAATTGTCCAGAAATCAAAGTGGTATCAGAGCCTCATTGGTCTTTTTTTTGAAAAAAGGGTGTTTTTCAGAATTGTCCAGAAATCAAAGTGGTCAAAATCCACTTTTGATCACACCAGGTTGAAGCCCTCGACGAAATGAGCACACAGGAAAAAATTGTGTCGCAAAAGGACACCGGAGGAGGCCGCACGCGCAACTGACATCGTTCTCATACGCTGGCGATCGGCCACACGCGCTTCACGCGCGAAACCAATGAAGAAGACCATCTGACGTTAGCATATGACATCATTTTGCTGATGTCATTGGGCCGACCTGCTAACCAAGCTGTTGCCTGGAGCCGTTGACTTGAGCCAAGCCACTTTGACCACGCCGTTGACCAAGTCATGTTGCCAAGTCGCTGACGTCAGCCTGATACCATCTGAATCGAAGGAATTATCCAATGCTTCTTAGGCATACAAGTTTTCACTGATCT